ATGTCATCTGTGTTAGGTGGCGACAAAGGAGGCCCGATAGAGATCCTGATGAATAAGAGGCAACGTGAGGACTGAGGAAGAAGCTTTGGTACTGATGGATCGTACCCCACCTGAACTACCGTCATGGAATGCAGGAGACTCTAGGGTTTGAAAGCATCTTTTTATTTTTACCGTTTGCTTGCGTTATATTTTTTATGATCAGACTGTTTATTTTTCCGTTGTATACTTTTATTATTGTAAGACTCTTGCATTAGGATTGAGTGAAGTTTAGTCTGCTTCAATCGTCTGTGGCTCAGGTTTGCCCACTAATGGATTGACGAATTATATTATTTCTTTGAATGTGATTAACTCCGAGTCTGATTCGCAGCCTGACGGTTGTATGTGATTCCTTACTTTCTTAATTTACTCTCTTTCTGAATGCTAATGTTTTAATATCAATTTATGCGCCCCTTCCAAAAAATAGCACAACGAAAAGGGAATATGAATATACTCACAAGGTGGGATGGATAAGTCTTCACCCTCCTTCAGAACTCTGTCATCCTTCCCCTTTTAAAAGGTCAATAGGTCATGTCAATAAGGTCGTGGCTAACTTTGCCAAACTTTATTCATTTGCCATATGAATATCATTCCAATAAAGTCATGTCAACAAACGTCGTATATTTCCCCATTCAAATTAATATGTTTAATTGAAATGAGAATTTGATTTTGCACCACATTTGATATTGGACTTTTCATCATATTTAAAAAAAATAAATGACTTTGCACCCTATCATATAACATTTGTGAAGTAAAATTTTTAAATGGGGTGCAAAGTCCAAGGATTTTGAAGTGAAATGGGTGCATAAAATCAAAGTTTTTTTTAAATGGGGTGCAAAGTCCAATATCAACCAAAAAGTGGGGTGCAAAGTTAAATCTCCCTCATAACCCCTTAATTGAATGATGGTTCTATGATCTATTATCTTTATGTTTTATGTGTATATAAATGTCAATAAATGTCATATACTATAGATTCGAGGACTGCTCAGGTCCAGCCGGAGGGACGGGAGCAACCGTCCGAACTTCACTGTTTGGGGCGGTTCCCGGTGGAATTTTTCGATGAAATTTTTTGAGCATGTTCCTCATCAAGTCTAGTTTGTCCATACCAAATTTCAGCTTAAAATTCGACCGGGAAGGTAGTCAAATAAATTCTTGAAACTTACTGCACTTTATATACGCGCAGAATGTGCAGTAAGCTTCAAGAATTTATTTGACTGCCTTCCCGGTCGAATTTTGAGCTGAAATTTGGTATGGACAAACTACACTTGATGAGGAACATGCTCAAAAAATTTCATCAAAAAATTCCACCGGGAACCGCCCCAAACAGTAAAGTTCGGACGGTCCCTCCCGTCCCTCCGGAGGGACCTGATCTTTTCTGCTATATATTCATTGTGTATTTACATCTCACTACAAAAAAAATTAAGGGATTGACACGGATTTAGCACAAATCTATCGATAATTTCGTGTCAAATAGCTAGTGTCAAACTGTTTTCGGCACGGTTTTGGCATATTCATGCCGAAACCCCTGTCAATTTTGGAGAATTTCTGCCAAAAAGCTCTGCCAATTTCATGTTTTTTTGTAGTGACTGGTCTAATAATTTTGTCTAGAATGAAAAGTCAAAAGCTAACTCAAATAAAAACATAGTAAAAAATGAAGTGATATATCAATCTGGTAAGTTTAATTTAGTGTCCAACAATTTTTTTCTTCGACTAAAAGATCAACAAATACTGGATGGAAGGGCATGTAACTACTCAACTAATACATATGGAATCAAGTATACATTTTTTTTTAGATCATGGAATCAAGTATACATTGAATGAAAGGGAATGCTGTAAAATCAAACCAGAACAGCTGGATGGCCGCTAGCTGAGTCATACATTTCCAAGGCTAGTAGAACTTCAAAATCGGCTTGAATATTTTCTCTATAATTTACTGACGATGCTTACAAAAAATGACCACAATGGGTACAAAGTCAATTGAACGTGGACTAGCTATTTTTGATCGATCTAATAATTAATTCAAGGTACAAACAAATGTCAACAGTGAAATAACTTTGTATGGGACTAGTACAAAACATATGTGATGTCCTATATTCACTATACTGAAGTCCAAATAAAAAATGTAATTAACTTTACGTATATACTCAAAAATGCGTGTAATTATGTGGCTAGGTCTTTTGACCATACGGTGGTGTTTTAGTTGTAATTGTGATGATTTATTTGATTTCAGATAAGACATTTTATATAAAAATATATAGGTTTCACGTTCTCTACAAGGTTTTACCTAATTAATACACCAAAAATTACATTCTACGGAGTATTAAACATTTTAAATTTTATTTTTAAATTCATTTTCATTTTTAATTAACATCATCAAATTTTACCATCACATATTTTCTCTATAATACCTATAATGAATTAAATTTTAAAATTACAAGGTTCTAAGCTTGTTTAATTATGTGGGTTACGAACTTACAATAGGCTTAACCTTTTTTTTAAGAAAAGAGGAAATTTCTTATTGAATTAAAGGGGAAATACAAATCGTGAAAAGAAAGGAAAAATAGTACAAAAATGAAAGATAAAACTAGTGCTCCGGGAGAGATAGCATCTACCGGTCCCTCCTCACCTCCCCACCCCCAACCCACCATGCGGCAAGGAGCGGGACAGGTCCCGATTTAGGATGTTTTTATTTAGACTGTAATTTGTTGATCTGGTCTGGTAAAGTCTGGTTTCTTTGTATTTTTATAACTATCCCAGTCTGATCTGGTTTAGGACAAATTACAATCCAAGTAAAAACGTGTCAAAACATAGTCCAAAATAACTAGATCTCACCCGGGCTTTGAGCTAGTAAAAGCCATCATCCAGGTTCCAGGCTAGTAAAAGGAATTTCCCCTTCTTCAATCTTCATCATTAAAATCCGGTCCAGCACCCGGCCCAGGGATTTGACCTCCAGTGTCCAGTCCAACAAACTAAAGCCCATGGACCATCAAACAAAATTATGAAGCAGCGCATGAAGCTTAGCCCAGATTCGCAAGGCCCGTTAGGCAACACCTATTAATATTCAAGTTTTGTTAAAGGAGAACCTAAATAAAACCAAATCATATTTTTTTCCTACTAAAACCGTCAATATATTCACCCAATATAGTTTTTAGTCAAATTCTTACACTTTTTTTTAAGCGGAATTTTATTAAAAGTAAATAAGAAGAGTAAAAAAATGAAGAAAGAAACAAAAACGCAAATGAATAAATAATCCAAAAAGGCCCTGCAAATCCCTAACGTAAACCGCTTAGCTTCTCGTCGAAATGTACTGAGTTGCCCGAAAGAGATGAAGTCCCCAAAATATCTAAAAGGTGAAGCTATGCAATGGGGGGAGGGGTACACGACTTTATTTATCATCAATTATTAGGAGCGGTCCTGAATTTGGAGAAGTACACATGTATATTGGAAATATGTATTCATATTCTGATTTTATTTCTTCTTCTTTCCATATAAAAAACGATTATCATTGATTTTTGCAGTTGTGATTTACACTTTTCCAAACTTTTACAAATTTCAAGATGCACAATGGCATGCTCGTATCAATTATGTAGTTTACAAAAGGAAAGAAACCAATGAAGGGGGTGATGATTATGATTGTTAACATTGATAGAAAGGTCGGGTTATAAAAAAGGAAATGTTGTTTGTATTCGTTTTAAAGGAGCTATGCAATTGTCGGAAGAGTCAAGTGGTAACACGAGTAAAATTAAGAGTTGTGATTTGGACACTCATTGATTCAAATTTCCCAAAACAATCGAGATATTCCCGCCTAAAGAAGAACAAAGCAAAGGGGTGGCAAGCGGAGTAAATGAACGAAATATTAGACAACATAGTAACAAATAGAGGGAATTGGTATGTCGAGTGTGTGGTGAAGACTATCACAATAGTCGTAATTGTCCAAACAAACAAACAAAGTACTACTTATTGATGGCACAATATGTGATTTTGTATAACATTGAATATCACACGTGCCAACTTTTCTTTCTTAGTTTTTGAATGGCAATTTTCGTTTCCTTCAGCTATATTCTCATAAATTGGTTCTTTGTTTACTATTGTTTATGATAGGAGCAATGATCAATGCAAATCCTTTGGCTTTTGCACCTTTCGCTACTCACCCGGCAAAAGACAGGCGCGTACCTTTACATCAAATACTGTAAAATCCATCTAAAGCTCATGTAATACTTCTATGGGATTCCACCACATCATGGCTCATATGACGAGTACTAAGAAAATTGCCATCGATAAAATGACAAGTGGGATTTCAATAATTGCGCGTGCTCCTTGTAGTGCCATTCATTGTTTTGACTGTTTTTTGAATCACCGACCGCGTGCCTAGTGGCCGTTTGGACTTAGACTAGATGATTAGCCTTTCTTCAGCCTCTCCTTTTCCTTTGAAATGGGAGAGGGTGGGGGGCTTTTGCTTTGTGGACACATTGTACATGTTATTTTTGCTTGGGTGTTAATATATATTTACATTTCATAAAAAAAAAACAAGTGGGATTTCGAAAATTGTAATCATTTTCACTCTCAATGAGGCTATCTTTATAGTGTTGGTTATTCAGAAAGCTGTTATAAAGGGTTGAATACTATGCCATTCATGATCAAGTCATGCAATCCTACAAATAAGATATTTTTGATATTAATGAGAAAAGAGTTGATCCACCGGTGGGCGTAACTCAACTGGTAGCGAGGGAGTGCCCTAAGGGTTAGATCTCGGGTTTGACTCCCGACAACTGCGATGAGAAGTTTCTCAATAGAGGGTCTCTGCAAGTACCGGAGACGGAGCCCTACTCTATATCTGTCAAATTGTGATTATAGTCCAATTTACATCCTTTCATCGTGCCGTCTGGTCGGTGTTGGGGGTCCTCAGGATGGGGAGTCATCCTTTGTTTTTTTTTTTTTGAGAAAAGAGTTGATTGAGCATTCGGTTATAAGCCAAAAGCTCTTGTATTAAAAGTTTAAATTTAAAATAAAATTGTTATACAACTTTATGACAAAGACAAAGGGGAAAACAAAGAAAAAGGGAAAAAAGAAAAAACTTTGGTCACATGAAATAGAGTTCAAGACTGTAGAATCTTGATTTGTTAGAGTTCCAAGCATGACCCTGGTTTGTATAAGGATTTGTACACTTTCAAAAGTTGGATTCCTTGGTTAACAATTGCTCAACTATCTTCTCTGAAAGCCGGACCGATTCTGAGGATTTGGTGGGCAATACGGTATCGACGGCATCGTTTCTTCCGACAATGCTCTGAGCCGGTTAAGCTCCGGCAACACCTCGGTGCCGAGGTCCGGCCGGTCTTTCCGCCTGAGCTCCGCGCACTTGAGAGCCAACTTGGCAAACCTCATCGTCTCCTCAATCGGCCAGTCAGACACCGCCGGATCAAGCATCTCAGCAAATGTTCCTTTCTCGATCGCCCTTTCCACGTTATGAGTTAACCCCATCGGAGGTTTCGCTGTGATGATCTGAAGCAGCATGATTCCCAGTGAGTAGACGTCGGATTTTATCCCCAGCATCCCCGTCTGTTGGTACTCTGGATCTATGTAGCAGAACGTTCCGGCCGCCGATGTCATCCGGTATTGCGTCACGCTGTCGGCGACGTTAGGAGGCACTAGCCTGGCTAAACCTACATCACTGATTTTGCTGACGTAGTTCCGGTCGAGTAAAATGTTGGCCGGTTTTAGGTCACGGTGGACCAGTGGCTCCGGCTTGGTTTGGTGGAGGAAGAGAAGTCCGGTGCCGATCTCCGCCGCTATCCGGAACCTGACCTGCCAAGGAAGAGCAGGAGTACTGCCGCGCGAGAAGAGACGGTCCTCTAAGCTCCCATTCGCCATGTACTCATACACCAAGCAACCGTACTCCGGGCAAGCTCCGAGAAGGAGAACCATGTTCGGATGTCTAATACAGCTCAGAACTTCAACCTCTTGCTGGAATTGGGACCTCCCCTGGGCGGCGTCTGGCCGTAGGACCTTAATTGCGACCTCAGTGTGATCGAGGTGAGCTCTGTATACAGGTCCGTAACCGCCTTCCCCAATTTTTCGGGAGGCGGAGAAATTTTCAGTTGCGGATTCGATGTCCTCGATTGAGTACTTGCGATACAAGCATTCGTTATGGGCGATTTTGTCTAAGACCTTCTTCTTCTCATCCGCTTCCCGGAGAGCTTTCATCTCAGCACTTATCCTCTTTTGTGCTTCTAATTCAGCGAGTCTCTGAGCTGCCTCGGCTGCTTCTAGCGCGGCCCTGCACTTGGCTTTCTCTTTCTCTGCTATGGCCAATGCTGTTTCCTCAGACAGCCGAGCCTCTTCTAGCTTCTGCTGCTCTTCCATTTTCCAACGATGGAGTTCTAGAGCCTTCTGTTTTGCTGAGAGTGCTTCCTTGCAGGCTGTGCTATACATGTCCATTGTTTGCTTGAGTTCCTGCTTTAGCCTTCTCATTTCAGCCTCTACATCATCCTACACAATGTGTGATAAGGTATTATTATAATTTATAAAGATACAAACTTATATAAAATTCTTTGAGTTATTCCTATTATCAAGGTAATATTTTAGATAGTATTAGAGTCCATTAAACTCAAATCATTGAATCAAGATTAGTCTACTCTAATAAATAAGTAACACAAAAACTCTTTGAGTTAACTCAATTCAAAATTGGTTTGCTAGGATAAACAACCACTTTGAATTACTCTTCTAGACAACCACTTTGAAGTCTTAGTATTTCATTTAGTTATCATCAATCCATGGGGAGAAATGCATACCACAGTCTGGGATGATGATGACCAAGATCCTCCACTTTCTTGAGAGTGTGATGATAAGATGTTGGAAGGGTTATAGTTCATGTCAGATAGCCTGGATCCAGAAAGTGCTGACCCAAAACTCAACCTGTTGTCTGTGTCAGAGCCATTGGAAAGGCGATGGAGGATACTGGATTCTTGACTGTCAGAGAGCATCGGAAACATGCGCTCTGTGCTAGGCCTACCCGAACTAACGAATGATATGTCAGAAGAGTCTGGTATGGAAAGTTCCCCATATGATCTGTTTGAGTACTGGCCTCTAGAGAACGGAGATCTGTGTAGATTATATCATGATGCATTAGTTAGTGCTAAACATTCATATTTAATTACTTTATCCCTAAATGAAGTTCACTTCACATTTTACATTTCAAGATATTAAATTGATGATAATTTAATTCTCATGTAATAAGGCATAACTTATTAGTGTTATTGGACTTGATAACCCAAAATCAAATTTGAATATGAAAAAATTGGATTCATAAGATTACAAAAAAGGTTAGGAATTACAAGTACGTAAAGTTGATCACAAGTATAGTAAAAATAAGCATAACATGTGAATAGATAAAGTATTGCTATAAGTTTATCTAAAGCTCACTTGATGAAATCATTATCCTCCGTGCTTCTATGTGAAAATGGTGATGATCTCTCTGAAGCATTCCCTGCAATAGGTGGTGAAATACGTGTTCATTACACGTGATATATATAAAAGTAACCAAAATGTATGTTTTGTAGATAGAGTAAAGAGAAAACTCTTCTTGTCAGGCCGGCCTGACGGGAACCTCTGTCCGGCCGAGCCCGTTTGGGCACCTTCTCGGTGGAATTTTTTGATGAAATTTTTTGAGCATGTTCCTCATCAAGTCTAGTTTGTCCATACCAAATTTCAGCTCAAAATTCGATCGGGAAGGCATTCAAATCTTTTTTTGAAGTTGACTGCGTCAAAATATACATATAAAAACGCAGTCAACTTCAAAAAAAAGATTTGAATGTCTTCCCGATCGAATTTTGAGCTGAAATTTGGTATGGACAAACTAGACTTGATGAGGAACATGCTCAAAAAATTTCATCAAAAAATTCCACCGGGAAGGTCGCCAAAAGGGCTCGGCTGGACGGCTCTCCTGGTCAGGCCGGCCTGACATGATGGTTTCTCAGAGTAAAGATATGTGTACATTTCTTGTACATTTCATCTATATGACACATGTTTATTGAGTGATGAAAAGTTGTCTTACTTTTCACCTCCCGATAGATATGTGTCATGCAAGAACATACACAATAAAAGTATATACAAAATGAGTGGCTAGAATTATTTGGTATCTTTATTTTCTTAAATAGTATCCAGAAATATGAGATATTGAACACACACCTAGGCTCTCATTACTATGCATGAGGCGAGGATCGGAGAAACCAGAACTTGTTGAGCTACGGGCAGACACCGTGGGGGTAGCGATACTGGCAGTCCTTGAGGAAGCAAGTTTACCCTTGGCCACTATGTAGACATTGCAGAACTCAGGAGCGTTTCTGCTTACACTGGTCGGAACATCTGGTGTCTTGAATCTTCTGTGCCAAAGGGTTTATAAGTACCCATATGTGTGTGTAGGAAAATCCTCAAATGCCGAGTTAGCATCGTTCACATACTTAAAAAGATTGTAACTTTATGCTAAAAATGATATGATTTTTTTTTTAAATTTGATAGGAAGCATATCAATTTGACCGATTATTTACACATGTATGTGTGTAGTAAGATAATTTAGAAGGGGATGATGGTGCACTAAGCTTTTTATTGAAAATAATGCATACCTGACGAAGCTATTCCTTGATGGGGAACCAAGCACAATGTTATCAATTGCATTGACATGAACATAGTCACATAGAGCTTTTGATATGTCTGCTCCTTCAATTACAATTTCATTAACGTGTATCTGTACCAGAAAGAAAAGAAAAGAAACTTAATGGGATTGATTTGTCATTTGTCAAGATTTTTTTTGCAACCAAGAATAAAACTTACGTTCTTTCTAGTGCAAAAGCAACGGAAAGGCAAAAATAATTCCTTGGATTGATTGTCAAGTTGACTTTTGTGTACAGATGAATAGCTTCCATCAGGATTTTGTGCAGCGCCAGGCTTGAGGAGGACGTGGAGAAGGGTGACACTTTTGCCTTTACCAAGAGAGAATTTATCAATAGCCCATTTGAGAGCAAATTGGCTTCCTTTGTCCTTGTCAATTGCAACCACAACCGACTCGTCTCTTTTCATTAGTGCACTCTTTTGGCTATTAATCATACTTTGTTCTTTGATCACAATAGTTAAAAGCAAAGAAAACCAATGCAAATTTTTCCTATTCCAAAAAACCTTGATTTGCAAAATCCTTAACAAATCAAATGGAATGTCTAGGACCTCTCTATTCAAGGGATGGAGAGGCCCTCTTTTGATGATTCTTGAACAATGTTGGGATTGGAGGTTCTAGGAGAGGTTTGTTCACCCTAGAACTCCTCCCAGCTAGTTACCTCCCCAATTGTCTTCCCATTCTTTTCATCATATTAGACCAATTTTCTCACCCTTGGCTTCCCAAATATAACGCAATACAATAGAAGCCATTGGTTAACAATCTTAACATGTGATCTTCCTTATACAAGCTTCCTACAATTGCGCTTCATCTTCTAATATTTCTTTCATTCCATATGATATATCACATCAAGAAGACCACACCATTTATCCGCACACTTTTTAGCCGGTCCTTTTTAAATTGCTTCAATTGTACTCCCTTCGAATCAATATTAATTTTATTCTTTCATTTTTCGTATGTCTCAATATGAACTTCTCTTTCCTTTTCTAGCAAAGAATGTATGGATTATAACATTTGTCCTCACTTTCTCTTTCCTCTGTACAACTTTAGGCCACACATTTCTCATGTACTTTCTTAATTGTGTGCCAAGTCAAAACATGAATTAATATTGGCACGGATGGAGTTTTTTTTTTTGTGGCAAAGATTATTACCTATTAATCTATTATAGTGTATGTTCTATGTTAAAGCCAACATTCTTGAATTAGGATGAGACTACTAAGTACTTGGCTGGTTAAATTGTATTTTTGTTCTGAAGGTAGTCAACCATAATGTTATTATTACACCGGCTTTCATAAATAAAATAAGAGGAAAATAATTTAAATACCCCAAACTTTAGACGAGTGTGAGATAAGTATTCAAAACCTGCATATGTAATATATATACCCCGAACTTTATATAAAATGTTACTTTCACGTCATGATTGTATGTTTTTTTACGAATATAAATTCATTGGAATAATTACATAATTTAAAATACTCTAAGCTTTGTTACAATGTAGTTAACATTCTAAAATTTCATTTGTGAAATAAATAATATTACATTTGGTACAATTTAATTTTAATTGCATCCTCAAAAATGTTTTGTGTATTTTAAATTATATACTTAGCACCATAAAATTGCATTTGTGAAAAAATATATAATTATGGTGCTAACCTAACTTTTATATAAAGTTTGAGGTATATATATTACATGTGCAAGGTTGGTGTACTTATCACACACTACTTCAAAGTTTGGGTTATTTAAATTATTTTTCCCTTAAAATAAACATAAAACGGGGTGGTTACGATTTTGCTAAATACAACAACATTATTTTAATTCCAAAAACATGAGTAAAGATTGAGTGACCAGACAAAAAAAAAGTTAAACTGATCGAATTAAAAGCATTTAAATATAAACAAATACTCCGTATGAACTACAGTTTAAGAGACATTTTGTGGTACTGATGAAAAAAATGATAAATGAGACAAATATATTGCGACAAAATGTGTACATTTAATTTATATAAAATAAAAAATGGAATAAAATCAAGAGAGTTTTCCTAAAATATTACTAATACAATTTTTTTTGGACAAAAATGTGACTAAAGTTACTGCATGTATACTTTTATAATCAGTGTGATGTCAATATTGAACACAATTATTATAATCATTAAAAGTTACTAAATCATATTTTTATCCACTCATGCAATCAAATTTGGACTCGACCAAGCTACTCCTCAAATCAACCACTGTATACCAAATACATAAAATTGAACTTTTTGTCTATATTTCTAAATTTTGTGTAACAACATTGGTTCATTAAATTGAAATGAAAATTTATACCTTTTCGGGCCAAAATGTCGCTACTCCGTGATTCAGTGTATATGTTTTTTTTATCTACTATAGGGGGGGAGTGCTCCTCGACGGGTGACACGGGTAGAGTTGCGCCGCGGCATGGGACGCTTTTCAACGCGGGTTCTGCGTGGGTTTGCGTGGTTCCCATGCCACGGAGTTGGATATTTTCGCCGCGTGGGTTTCGGTGGGTTGGTTATCCTCTCCTTCGGTTTGGTTGGTTGGAATGCAATAAGGGAAGTTCCTTCGAAAGCAAATGCAATAAATATCAACTACAAACTTTTTTTAGTACACAAGATATTGGAGCAAAGTAGTCTGGGAACTAAAGAAGGAAAATATTTCCAACTTTCACTGGTGAAAATTGAAGGGAAAGTCATCAAAGAGTAGCAAATGTACCTTGATGTTGATCGGGTCGATAACATTGATCGGCTTTGAGGTTCATACTTCCGCAACCTTATCCATTATGTGTGATTTATAAAATTTCAACGTGCAATTATTTTTTGAGTCAAATAACAAACTACAAATTGTCAAATAGGGTTGGGTCAATCAGGTTATGAGAGTTGGGGCTAGTTTTATTCAGCCCTAATAATGTGGTGGATAGTCAAAGTATGTGTGGCAATGGGATGAATATAAACTTCGGTGACTTAAGTGCAGCCAGTGACCAAGTCAAGTAGTATACCGAGGTGTGACGACACAAAGAATTTTACCAATTACGTAGTAATTTTTTTTACATAAATGCAAAGCATTTTTCAAAGTAGGAGTAATTTTTTATATTAAAACTAGGAGTGAAACATATGAAAAAGTACTTTTCTTCTTAAAATACGACTTATGTGGTCCTATTAAAAGAATACGAGAATAAATATTTTCTAAACATGAATGCTTGGATCCTATTTTGAAAAGAAAATAAGTGTAGTCGTGTTACACTTTTTGATTTTTTTTTGTTTAAACAATTATTTTGTATTTTGAAAGGATAACGCTTAACTATGACTAATGATGTTCCAAAACACTGAAAACCTCACCACAACACAAAACCTCAATCCTCCTAACCCCCACGAAACCAAATGGTTCCCTCACTCGTTGATCAAGCGAAAAGGATTTCAGCCTAAGAAAAGCAACACTCTTTGCTGGACATGCAAGAGATTCGAAGTAACAATCGGTCCTAGAGGCAAAAATACTTCCTCCTACAACCAGGGGCGGATATACAGCTTCTTTAGGGGGGCAGCTGCCCCCAATAAGCTCTCGATAGTACCCTATATTATAATATGAATAATTGTAGTCCATATAATTTGCCCCCATTAAAAAAAATTAAATGCCCCCATAAATCAAGCCCACCTAAATCTAGGAAGCCCAAAGTAAAATATACGGAGTCTGATCCATATACCTCTCGGGTCAATGCCCCCTAAAAACAAATGGAGTACAATTGTAGTACGCATAGTTGACAATTCAACTTTTGTAAGAAAATTCATTAGAACGAAGAGAAAGCAGAACTATGGGATAATTTGTATGTATAATTAACTATTTGAGTAAATTGATTATTATATAATTTGTACTCCGTATGTGTTAAAGTCTTATTTTGTAACGGTGTTGACACAATTAAACTGTTAAAATTAAAATTCTAAAATTGCTAACAACCTAAAAAATAGGGTTACGATTTAAAAATTAAGAACTTCATATAAAATATAATTTTTACATAGTTACCACTTTAGGAGAAGGTTTGAGATATGTAAAGAGAAAAGAGTACATTACTTATAAAAGAATTAATTACACTTTCTATAAGATTTTATGAACAGGTTTTTAAATAAAAAGCTTCATCAACACCGGAAAGTTCAAATTCAAATGTGTAGTAGCCAGCTCGGTCCTGATATTTTATGGGCCCGGAACAGTACAAACATAGTAAACCTATAACATGAATTTTATTTAATTTTTTATTATAAAAACCTATGAATAAAACTAAGCAATTTTTCTTTCAAATACGAGTATAACACGTCAAAAAAGTAATAAAGCAAGAAAATGATTAGAAAATTATGCGCCTAAACCTGCCTAATGAAATAAATAGTACAACTATTACTTTCAATAAAAAATTGAACCAGGGAACAACGCGAAAGATACATCGTATTATCGTATAAGGAGGTATCTTTTTCATATTTCAAATAACATTTTCTTAAACAAATACTTTGTAGCAATTATTGGATGGTGTTTTTTCATGCACGCTCAGGAGGGGAGCCAAGGCAATAGGCCGGATTGGACCGGTACAACTGATATTTTTGGGAAAAAATCCCAAACTTTTGTACTAAAAATAAAGATAATGTTGTAAATTTGGGGAAGGGCAGGGCCTAGGTTGGCCCTCCCTTAGCTCCGCCCCTGTGCACGCTATTTTTGCTCTACCAGTCTGCCCCCAATAGTTTCGTATCCTGGATCCGCCACTGCCTACAACAAAACTCAATCAACCTTCTCAAAGCCCACCTAAAACACTCAAGGGTTATCTCAATATAAAAGTATGACATAACAAAAAGTAAAACTTGAAGGAAACAAAACCGCAAATGACTAATTCCAACCTTAAAGCGTTGACTTCCAATCCCTGACCTGTTGTCGCTCCAAGGAGGCGGTTCATGAGGGGCGTGGACCCTCAATACTTCATCTTCCGTGTTTATCCCATCGTTCCTTACGTCTCCTACCTCTTTATGTCCCTTACATCGCCCCGTTTCTAGACCATCATGAGTGGAAAAGATTTGCCTTTGTTTCTGTCGGCCAAGGTTTGCATATCTCCTATTTTGTCGCCCTCCATCTCCCTGCTGCTCTCTCACTAAAGAAGCTAGGCAAAAGTGGATACCAAGGATTTTGCGGGGCTCCAAAACTCTAGCGCAACCTAGCGCACACTTCCGCAAGACTTTGAAAAGCAACTCTTAGTTTGTTTAAACACTTATGCTAAGTGATATAAGTTGTACCACCTCCGTCCTGCTAACATTGTTTCACCTTTTCTTTTAGGTTCGTCAATTAAATATCAATCATGTAAACCAACTTTTCTTAGTAATCACACTATCTCCTCAGGGTCTCAATGTTAGTAGAACGAAGGTAGTATTAATTAATTGCACATAGGAAATATAGTTATATTTTAGTCATAGTGTTATGAACTTTCAATTTTATTCTACGTACACTTACATTCGGGAGTGTAAGCAGGGCATTGATTGGCTGGGCCGGTCGAAAGATTTTTTAGATGAATTTTTACATGAAAATTTATACACTAATAGTTAAAGATTTTTTTTAAAATTTTTTTGAAGTGGGCCACGCCCTAACAATACCCCTACCTCCGCCCCTACTTAAATTGTATCCCTAATAAAAGTGGATTATATTGAAGTCATAAAAGTTTGATATTTATGGTGCTAGATGGAAAATGATAATGAAATAAAAATGAAATTTACTACATGAAATCACAAAAAATTTGTATAGAAGAAAAAAATTATACATCCTCAAATAGTAATACCAAATTAATTGCTCAATACACACAATATCAATCGAATAGTTAGTTACTCCATGACAAATAGATAGAGGTGGAGCAAGTTTGCTTGAGGAACTCTCATTTAATATTTTAGGTATTTTGTAAGTAACATAACATCCAAAAAATAATAATTAAAAGGAAAATCAAAGAAGGTAATTACTAGAATTTCAAGATACACTAAAGGTGCAAAATCTATTAAACAACTCAATTCTTGGCATTAACAATTCAAAAACCATCATCAAATCAAATTAAAGTGACACATGAAGATCTACTTTAAATCATCATCATCATTAGTTAATTAATAATTAATCAATCCTGCATCTTCTTCCCTCCCTCCCTCACCTAGCTCCTCAATGCTCTTCATAGCCTCCTTGATATCCCACCTCTTCTCCACATCTGCTTCACAACAACTCATCCCTATCTTCAAAAGCATCCTCATTTCCTGATCGCACCCACCATTAACCACCATGTCCTTATCAAAGACCTCCTCGACCGAGCCATCACTCATGACAGACTCAACCCAAGTGGCCAGATCACTGTCAATCCCAGCCTTGCCTTGTTGCAAGAAGTAGTTTTCCGAGTATTTCCCGGTCAAGATCTCAAGAATCAATATGCCTAGAGCCCATACATCAGTCTTCTTAGTGATCCGCTTGCCCTGTCTGTATTCCGGCGACTTGTACGCGATCATATGCTTTTGGGCATGCTCGAGGTTGACGACAGGTAAGAGTCCATAGTCGTTGAGCAGCGGCTCGAACGACGCATTCAGGAGGACGTTTGTAGACTTGAGGTGGCCGTGCGGTGCGGTTAGGCTCGGAAGCTCGGTGTAAAGATATGATAGGCCTCTCGCTACTCCTTTAACAATTCTCAATCGAGTTGGCCAGTCCAGTTTTGAACCACTTCTTACCTCACATTTGCTATTCCCTGAATTGTATAATAACCACACAAGAACAACCATTGTAAATGATGAATTGTTATTCTTTTTTTTTTTTTATCTTGTATAAATATGTGTCTAGGTAGGTCAATGAGGAAAATTATTTTTTGAAGCCATGGCACTAGTGAAAAAAAGTTTTTTTGGGGTGGCGGTTTATAGCACGTATGCGTTGCGGTTTTGACCACCACAAAAGCCATGTCTTCTTATGACTAAAGTTATTATGAACGTATCATAATATTTCATCTCTCTAATAATGTAAAGGGAAAGTTCCCTGAATAGAAGTAAAGATGTTTGAAAATTTTCAAATATGGCTGCTATGTTCTTCTTCCCGAAATAAGAGTACGTAGTGTGACAATATTTACTGTCATCTTAAAGTCATTACTGCCAAAATAGTTTACTTCTTGGTAGTGACGACTTCTATTTTGGAAAGAAAAACATAACAATCCCATTTTAGAATTCCAATTTTTTTTACTTCTAATTAAGAAAAACTCCCTAACATAAAATATAACATAATAATGGTCATTGAAGTTATCACCATATGTATTAATCACTAAAATATAAAAACCGCATTTACGTCCTCTAATACATACCATGGAGATGAAACGCCAAACTCATATTGGGAGCAAAGTGAGAGACCAATAGCTTTTCCTCTTTCCTATAATAGAAAGCCACAGTAGAAAGCAAATTGTGGTTAGTCAACCTCCCAAGCCTTCTCATATGCTCATGAAAGTCTTCTTTTCCAACGTTATTCATGTGTTTAAATCTCTTCACCACCATGGTAGATCCAGGGCCAAGGGCAGCTTTGTAGGTTGACCCAAATACCCCGCTACCCAGCATCTCTGCTGAGGCATTTAGTAGGTCTGCCAAGTCGAACCTCTCTCCACTATCCACCAAGAATGTTAGTTTCAAGCTAGGCTCCGGTTTCCTACCCTCTGGCGACATCATTGGGAATTCCGGCGAGCTTGATGCGGCCGTTGACCCCTTTTCAGTTTTGTCAAGCTCGTCCAATGGCACTGTTCGGAGACCCGTGGCTTGGGAGATCGACGCTCCTTCCTCTGGTGCCGGAAAACGCTTGCGACTGGTGAGGATGACGATGACGGCCACTATCGCCACTAGCGCTGCCGCTAAGGATATCCCGACGATGACTATGGTTGACGTCGGTAATTTGGGATTACTGACACATGGTTTCAATGGCAATCCACATAGACCGATGTTCCCTATTTTACACCAACAAACAAATTAATTAATAAATGATGGGAATGAAAAAAAACATTTTAAGTGAAAATTTTGGCTTAAATAACAAGGAAAAATTTCTGAAATTGTGATGGATATGCTCAAGTTGTAAATAGAGTCATTGAGCTATATAGAAGGTTTAAATTTTGCAAGGTTTAATATGGTTTAAAAAAGGTTTAATCTGTGTGCTATATAATTAATAACTTAACATTATGTTTATTACTACCTACATACCAAAAAACTTTGTCATTTCATAAATTTTTTGATTCGTATAATATTATGGAAGTTATAAGTTTAATACTTTTATAAAAATACTTTTAACAAAGAACATTTTCATATAATTTTTATTATTATAAATAATTTTCAATAAAAAGGTATAATTGATCAAAGTTGTGGAAATGACAATTTTTTTTGTAACGGAGGTAGCAATATTTAATAAAAGTAATTCACAAGTAAGGATTTCATAGCCAATCTAAAAATCTCAAATCTAATATTTGGACTTATTAACATTAACAATTTAAGAGTAAATTTTAATTTCAATTGAGAATATCTACTTTATTATAAGCACTTTAAAAAAAAGTACTAAAGTAGATAACTTTAATTTGTGTATGAAATTATTTTTCTGGGAGAATACTTCTCATCTAAAATATGACACCTATATTTTGCTAAAATGTGAATATATGTGTGTGTGTATAACATAAAAGCAATACAATTTTTCCTTCACATTTTCCCGCTCACTCCACATAGTAAATTAGGCACAATTAATTTTATTTTTAATTTGTTCTGTCTATGCACTTGGCTCAAGTCATTTTTTAATCATAGTCCATCCCATCATTTACATTTATCTCAATTTTTCACAAAACACATATGTACGATTACAAGTTTTAACCTCTATCATTATTTTAAGCTTGCTATGGTTTTCAACTTTCAGCTTCATCTATCCGTGCTTTAATGTTATACTCAGCGCTAATGGACTTCATCTAGTTAAACCAAATCATTTAACTTTGACAACGTTTTAAAATCTGACATCAAACAATATTTTTTTTCTACATTCATCTTGTGAATCGTATATACAATTTTGAATTTGAAAACTTTTCACCATCAGCTAACTTAACTTAGATTTTTAATAATTCGTCTTTTGACGTCTCATTTCGTTTTAATACAGCTAAACCAACTCATTTGATTTTCAGAACACTTTTAAATTTTTTCATAAACACTTGGCATTTTAATTATTCATCTTTTGATATTTGGATCAAATTTTGGATTTAAAAAAGATATTTTTCAAAAAATAATGCTGAATTAAATGTTATTGACAAAAATATGACTAAAATTGCCATGCATATATATAGTTTTATTATGGTCACTAGTATATATTGAGCCTGTTCAAGTTCATTAAAAGATACTAATTCACATTATTTGTCCACTATGTTTAAATCATATATTAGGAATTATTTGTCTAAAAAATCCATATGTACATAAAAGCAATATAATTTACTTTTCTCATTTTCCACCCCTCCTCATAGTAAATTTGGCACAATCAACTTTTTTTATGTCATCACACTTGGTCCAACCTTTTTATTTTTGCCCCTGGCCAGTCCAAACCGAACATTCACACATATATCTCTTCATTTTGAAAAGAACACATAGACAACAAAGAAGATACTAAGAATATTTACACTGTATTGATAATAGAGAGGATAATATTGTAATGTATCAAGGAGCTTAATTAATGTATGCATGATAGGAAAAATAGTATTGAGAGTGAATTTTCCCTTTATATATAGGATACGATAAAATTGAGTTTTTTTTATTTGATGTGTAAGATGTATCATGATATTTCTTGTATGTATTTTGCAATGGATTTAAGACCTAAGTGGTCTGAAATAGCATATATAATAGAGAGGTATTGATAATAATATGGTGTCATTTTTATAAGTAATATGAACTTTTTTTTTATGATCACAAACAAAAAAACTCGAAACATATAAAACCACATTATTTGAATAAGACGAAGCTTAATATATTTTTTAAGAACTGACCTAGATTGACTCTCTTCCAAACAAAATTTTCTTTCATTCAACTCGATTAACCTAGTTTATTTAAATCCAAAGAAACAATAAATGTATGGTTCAGTTGATCGATGTTGTTTCTCTCTTCTGAACAAATTTTAACAGCATAAACCAATTAATTAACCAACAAAATTTCAACTCAATGTATTTTAATGTCAAGGTAAGTCAATGTAGTATATAATAAAATGATGGAAGGAAAAGTCACAATTAAACTGGTACGAGACTATCAAATATATGTACCTGCAAATGAGGATGCATTGAGATGAGAGAGCGCAACAGGAATTTGACCCTCGAGTAAATTGTTGGATAAATTCACCAACGTAAATCTCTCCTGCTTAAAATCTGGTATTTTCCCATCAAACTTATTGTTCTCCAACATCAATTCAACCAACTTCCCCAATGTAGCCAACGAGCCAGGAATGGGACCCACAAAGCTATTGCCTGCCAAATGGAGCTTCTTTAACGAGTTCATCCCCTCGAACTCATTACTCTTGATCTCCCCAGAAAACTTGTTGTGTGACAGGTAAAGGTGTTTCAAGGAACCCAACTTCTTGAAGCTCGGTAATGGCCCTTCAAAGCTGTTATTCATGGCGCCAAAAACCCTAAGACTCGTCAATTCCGTTAAAGCTACAACATCTAGGTCTCCTCCCAAACCCTTTCCATTCAAATTGAGTCCGAGAACTCTACCTCGATTTTCGCACATGACCCCATCCCAGTTTGAACGTAGACCCTCGCAAGGAGGCCCACGAGAAGGATTCCAATTGGATAATGCAATAGCATTGTTCAAAGACTCCCTAAACTTGAGAAGGATGTCCGCCTCTGATATTGCAAAAGACGGTCGCCAGGCGAGCCAGAGGTGTATCACAACGACAAGGAGACGAGTAAAAAAGAGGAATTTGATGTGCGGATTATGATGTGACATGATATGTTAACACATGCATTTGTTTCAAGTGCGCGCCCTCAATGAGGGGCTCGCTCTCGAAACAAATGGGGAAATGGATTATGGAGTGAGAAAAATATATGCAAAGGAAATTAAACTTTTACTAGAGATGAATTGAAATCGTAGTTCATAGGAGAGAGAAGGAAAGAGGTGGTGGGTAATGTGTATGAGGATGGAAAATAGAGAGCATAGGAAAGTGGGGTGGACAAGTAATGTACGATTAGTCCTCTAATTTCTTCAGGAGGAGTAATGGTTTATATTGCAATAGTTATTTGCGCTAAGCCATGTATACGTGCATGCATGTAGTTTTTTTGTTATCGTGCATGTAGTTGGTACATCTGATATATATGTTTGTACAATTCAACTATGTGCTAATAAACTGCTTTTAATTAAAAATAGGAACAAAATACATATTCTTAAATTAGCAGAAAGAGAGAATAAGAGAAAACAAAAAACAGGTCATTATGTTTTAAAGATAAATGAAGAATCGTCAATAAAATTAAGGGTATGTAACAGAATATGAACCATTTAGTTTTGCACTAGTGTTTAAAAATGACAATTGTTAATGCAATAACCTATTATTTTTTTCCCAAGCTACATAATAATTCAGCCACTTAATCTCCCCAGAAAAGATGACAGTAGTTAAATTTCTAATTACAACCACTTAATTAAATGTAAATAAATAAAATAATTATAGTATCGGTTGACATTTTACAGAATTGAGTACTAATTATTTAATAAAAATAATTAAACATACAAAACTAAGATTTTTCACATAATAAGTATCTTAAGTCTTAAACAATGAGTTGCTCGATCTATTGTTTATTTGTTTAAGTTATGTAAATTATTTTAGATGTTTATTATTTTATCCAATTAAGTATTACATTATGTAAGACTCTATATTAATTTTCAGGGCCGGTCCCGAGAATATACAGGCCCTGTGCAAAAATAAAATGTGGGCCTTTTCTAAAAGAAGTAGAAATATTTTATAAGTGAAGATTATATTTGTAATAATTTGCTACAATAATAATTTATATCAAAATATAAGCTATTCACTAACATAATGGTTAAAATAAAAATATTCCTTAACACAGTACACTTCATTTATTTGTTAAACTGAATTATAAATTAATAGACTAATAACCTAATATTTGAACTTGGTGATTCGCCAAGTTCAATTATTACAAACAATCCAAATATAATTATCTACGTACTAAAGCACTCAAACTTGAAATCAAAACCCAAAAAAAGAATAATATAAGAATTACAAAATATAAGAAATAAGATTATTACTCCATATTCTATAAAAGAAATTAAAAGAGAATAATCAAATCTAAAATTAGACCGTTTATCATTCCATTAATTGGATAAAAGGGCATATCATATAGGTGTGTGTAGCTGGATTTTGGGGAAGAGCGTTCAAGCTTCGAATTGAAAACGCCCAAATACGCTGATGGACAATCTACCCGGGGGGTATCTTGTCCGAGGGGTTATTGCGGGAATAACTAGAGGGAAGTCAGAGTAAATAGGAGGAGAGAGAGTCGATTTTATTAAATGAACTCGAGATGTGGAGTTGGGATGTAGATCATGTCGATTACAAGGAGAAATGGGCTGCTATTTATAGCAGCAATAAATGCGATGAGAGTACACGTGTCAGCAATCCAACGGCCGAAGGGCCACATCAGCCAGTTGGCACCGGCAGTGGTACGTTTACCGCATTGAATGCGGCTGGCGGATGTGACGTGGCATTAAATGCGGTGGTTGGCTGTCTCCAAAAGGAATCTTCGATGATTGAACGTGTTTGGCCGAAGGCAAACTTGTGTAGCCGAGGGCTCCTTGTGCAGCCGAGGGCTCCTTGTGTAGCCGAGGGCTCCTTGTGTAGCCGAAGGCCTCTAGTAGCCGAAGGCCTTATGTGACCGAAGGCTATGATGCCGAGGGCTTGACGATGCCGAAGGCTCATGTTTTTCGCCGTTTTCTCCCAGCAGCTTCTTATGTCAGAGAAGGCTATCCTGCGAGTTTCGGAGCCTTCGGCCAAGGAGGCCGAAGGCACCCCAGTGTGCATTCTGGGCTACTTTGAGGCTTGGGCCGTTGTACTTGGGCCCGAGTTGTTCTCTGGGCTCAACGGACTTGTGTAGGAGAAGTGGGAGTCTATGGGCCGGGGGTTCCTGGGCCATATACTCCATCAGGAGTCCCTCACTCCTTTTGCCGAAAGGTACTTGATGGATAGTCTACCCGGGGGGTGTCTTATCCGAGGGGTTATCACGGGAATATGGCTGAGGAAGATGGCCCATTTCACCATCCGAGAGGAGCTAGTGGGACTCCTCATGAGGGCGCCGAGGGGTTGATGAGTGAGCACTTGGACCGGATGAGCTTGAAAGTAGTGGCCAAGCTTCTTGACGGTCCAAACGATGGCTAGCACCGTCTTCTCGACGGGAGAATACCTGAGTTCGGCCTCCCGGAGGGTTTTGCTGACGTAGAAGATGGCATGTTGGACGCCGTCTTCCTCTCGGATTAGTACTGAGCTGATTGCCGCAGGGCTAACACCGAGATACAAGTATAAGGTCTCCCCCACCTTCGGTTTGGAGAGCACCGGGGGAGAAGAGAGGTACTTCTTAAGTTCGTCGAAGGCCTCTTGACACTCAAATGTCCATTGGAAGCCAGCTGTCTTCCTCATGATTTGGAAGAATGGGAGGGCCCTCTCGGCTGACTTAGAGAGGAATCGGTTGAGGGCCGCCAGGCGACCCGTCAACCGTTGAACTTCTTTGACGTTGCGTGGGGGTTCCATGTCGATGATGGCCTGAATCTTCTCGGGGTTGGCCTCAATACCCCTTCGGCTGACCATGTAGCCTAAGAACTTTCCCCCTTGCACGCCGAAGGTGCATTTCTTTGGATTTAACCGGAGGTTGAATTTTTGCATGATGGCGAAGATTTCCCGGAGGTCGTCGGCGTGAGTGCCTGCCTTCTTGCTCTTGACGATCATGTCGTCAACGTAGGCCTCCATGGTGCGTCCGAGGACAGCTTGAAAGACCCTGGCCACCATTCGGGTGTAGGTGGCGCCTGAATTTTTTAGGCCGAAGGCCATCACAAGATAGCAGAAGATGCCTTCGGGTGTCATGAAGGCAGTTTTTTCAGCGTCTTCCTCATGCATGTATATTTGATGATATCCGCGGAACGCGTCGAGGAACGACATGATCTCGCATCCCGCGGTCTCATCCACCAGTTGATCAATGTTTGGCAGGGGGAAGGGGTCCATAGGGCACGCCTTATTCAGATCAGTGTAGTCCACGCACATGCGGAAGGTAGGAGGCTTCTGTGCGAGGACTACGTTTGCCAACCAAGAAGGGTATTTCACCTCCTTAATGTGTTTGATGGAGAGGAGCATAGATACCTCCTTCTTCACGAACTCCCTTCTCTCGGCCGAGAGGGGTCTTCTTCGTTGCTGCACTGGTTTGGCCGAAGGGTCCACCGCCAGGCGGTGGGTGATAACCCTTCGGTCAATTCCTGGCATGTCCTCCGGCCCCCATGCAAAAACAATGGAGTAGGCGCGGAGGGCCTCGGTGATGCCAGCCTTCAGGTCTTCGGGGAGCTTGGCTCCAATCTTCAGGACTCTCTCCGGCTTGGCCGGATCGAGTATCAAGTCTTCGGTTTCCTCGGCAGGCTCAGCCCTCGGCCTGCCTTCCTCTTCCTCCAAGGCCTTGGTGGTGATTGTGTCAACACGAAGTTCAGTCTTACTAACCTTCTTGGTAAGTTGAAGGTAGCATGCCCTGGAGAGCTTTTGATTCCCCCTCGAGTAGCCGACGCCGGTGGGTGTGGGGAACTTGAGGCAGAGATGCCTCATAGAGATGACGGCCTCCAAATCCTCGAGGGCGGGCCGGCCGAGGATGATGTTGTGTGCGCAGTCGAGGTTGACGATGACGAACTCCACTTCGAGCTTGGCTCTATGGGATCCGTCGCCGAATTCAACCATGAGGGTGATTGATAACCGCTTTCGCGGCGTTGTAGTAAAACGGAGTCTAACCTTTCGGTTTTTCCCCGAGTATCGTGTCTCTCGAGGAATGGCGGAGGAGCTTCTTGATTTCAAGTCCAGTCACAGGTTATCGCAAATTATTGGAAGCTTTCCAAATTAAAACTTTTGATTGATTTTCTAAACTACTTTTTGGAAAAGAAAGTAAATTAAATTGTGCAAATACTAATGATGGCTCAAAAATAGACTAAAGGAAAAAATATAATATTAAACTTAAATGGATTGGTGCAAATAAGGGCAATGAATTGAGTAATTAGAAATGGATATATTCTTGGACCTAGTGATTAGGGAAATTAAAACTAAAATTGGACTAATAATTTCTTTCCTCATAGACAAGAATAGAAACTATTTTCATTAATTTATCCTATTTCTAGGTGTCATTAATGTGTTCAAAAATGGTTGGCTTGAATTAAATTCTAACCTCATAGACAAGGTAGAAATAATTCTCCAATATTTTAATTAATGAAAATAGCCGAATTCATTAACTAGTTAAACTCATTATTTAAGCAATTGAATTTATCTCTCATAGACAAGATGTAAATCCCTTTCATTAAATTATCCTATTTCTAGGCCTTATTAATGTGCTTGAATATGGTTGGCTTAAATTATTTTCTAATCTCATAGACAAGTTAGAAATAATTTTCCAAGAATTTAATTAATGAATATGGCTAACAATTATTAATTACTATTTCATCATTTCAAACAACTAGTCCAAATTATTAATTTTAATCCCTAATTTTCGGTCAACAAGTCAATCCATATTCCTTTAGTCAATTCATGCCCAAAACAAATTTAGCTAATAAACATCATTTTTTCATTTAACAATACAATGAATAAATTCAACATTAACAAGGAATTAAGCATGTATAATAGCAAAAATTAAACAAAAATAATATTCTTCCAAAATAAACTTGTAGAACTAAAATATCACCTTCTGGAATTTTTCCCGAATTTTATAACCTAAAATCCAATTTTAACAACTAATTGATAATTTTCCCAATATTAACTAGAAAATACAAAAAAAGCAACTACAAATATTCTAAATTCGTTCTAAATTTTATATTGAATACTAGGAGTGATATTACTGTGAATTTAACTGGAATTAGGACAGAAACTAATTTTTTCCTTTTTTGAGT